AAGAATCACGTTGGTATTTTAGAAATTCATGTTGCTATCTGGTGGCTTTGATCTAGTGAGCTATCCACTATCTCAGAGGTGTAGAGCAGAGGAGGATTCTCCTCAAATACCAGGTGTTGTCTTTGACATATAGAAATGTACATTTCTTTTTTTTTAATAATTTTTATTGTTATGTTAATCACCATACATTACATCATTAGTTTTTGATGTAGTGTTCCATGATTCATTGTTTGTGCATAACACCCAGTGCTCCACACAGAATATGCCCTCTTTAATACCCATCACCAGGCTAACCCATCCCCCCACCCCCTCCCCTCTAGAACCCTCAGTTTGTTTTTCAGAGTCCATAGTCTCTAATGGTTCGTCTATATAACTTCAACTCTAAAAAGTTTTTTTCGTTTGCTTTATTTGTATACAACTTTGAGGCTCTGCCTGAGACTGGCTCTGTATTAAATGGCTTTGCCGGCTGGGAGAAGAACTTCTTGCTTATACTTTAGTGTCTCTGTCGGTTTCCCCCTTTTGAGAAATTCACAGGCAGTATAATAAGGAACTACATAATGTTAGTTATTCATTGGTCTTGAGCGCAACACGTTCTCTTCATTTCCATGACTGCCCTGCCAAGGAACTCAAACTAGGTATTTGAAGTCTAGAATAGCAATGAGCAGAACTTGGAAATCCTGATCACACATCAGCCCCCACTGTGCGTAGAGTTCTGCCTTGCCTCATAAAGCTCCTCTTGGGGGTTGTGACAGGGAGTGGTCAGCTGTGGACCCCTCTGTCCCCCCTTCAACATGTAAACGTGGTCACGGGAAGCCTGGGCCTCACTTGCCATGGAAAGTTCTGCCTCAGCCCTAAATCAGCCTGAGACAAGTTAGAGCCAAGAAGGGCTGCTTTTGATTCTGGTAGTGACATTCCAAAGGAGAGCAGTTAAAATGATGGAAATTTGAGGAGCAAACAAAGAAAAGCCAAGGAATTAAACCTCTCTCACCTAGAAACAATTAGAGAGAGACTTGTCATGAAGTAAAATGTGGGAAAGCATACCTATGTGGAGCTCTATAGCCATTATTTTCCTTTTCTTGAAGATGGCACAAGAAGGACTATTTTATGTTAATGGCTTTGAGGCTGACAGTACCGTACTCTGGCTATAAGATAGAAGAATCATTAAGACTCTGAGACCTTCGACTTGGGTTTCCAGCACCACCTCTGGGTTTACCAAAGATCAGATGGATCAAGACCCTCCGGGCAGGCAGAACCAGCTTCTTTCAGGATATTCACAGTCAAAAGACCCGCTGACATGGGCCATTAGCAATGGTGGGCAAGTTCTCAGAAGATGCTATGTAATCTCCCAGTGTTTGGGTTTTGGTAAGAAGAAAGAAAGGTTAGAAGAAGAAAAATAAAGCATCACGTTAGCCAAATGGTAATACAAACTGTCAGCGTCCTTCACTCAAGGTGGGGGAAGAGGCTTTCTTGCTCTACAGCTTTTTATCTGGGTGTTGCCGATACCAGGGGGATGATGACCCCAATATCTAGTACACAGTGACTGCCTTCACCTCTGTTTTTATTAACTCATAACAACATGGCATATTAATGAATGGAGGGGAAGAAAAGACAACCTCGGAATTGTAGGTGCCTCTCCATTCACTATTATTTGAATAAAGATTGATAAGGAAATAAATGTGAATCTTACAGAACAATATAATGATCTAGAGGACTTCATTGTCCAACTAAAATACAATGCAGGCCACATATATAATTTGTAATTTTCCAGTAGCAATATTAAAAAAAGCAAAATGAAACCAGTTAAAATAATTTTAAGAAGATATTTTATCTAACTCATTATCCCCAAATATTATTTCACCCTGTAATTAATGTAAAAATTATTAAGGCAGTGTTTTGTACTAAGTCTTTGAAATCTGGTATGTATTTTATCCTTACACCATGTCTCAATTTGGACTAGCTGCATTTCAAGTGCTCAGTGGTCACATGGGGCTACTGGTCACATGTCAGCTACTGTGCTGACCAGGACAGCTCTGGAGACAAATATCAGTAATTGGTGTGCTATATTACGAAGAATAATCCAGACAGGGTGGAAATTTTAAATTATTTCACGGGAGGTGAGAACAAGACTAGGCAGTTTTTATGAGGTCCATTTCCTCATGTGAGAGAACTATAATTATCTTCTAAGCAATGAATCAACATAAAAATGTGATCCATTAGCAAATTCAGTCTCATATCATATGAGACCTAGCATTAAATGTTTCACTTCTGTCCTTGGCAATTTTGGAAGGTGTATAATTTGGGGCGGTAAGCTTGGTTAAATATTAGATACCAAATATCTCAAATACTCTATTTTAAAAGAGCCTAGTTGGCAGTCTGAAGAATAGGCCAGCCCAGTGGCCTAGAATACATGGCCTGGTGTTAGAATATATGAAGCTTTACCTGGAACAGGGCCCAAATTCATGCTGCCATTTAAGATTTATCCATGAAGGGAAAGGGACCTCCTGTTGATGTGAGTTTCATATCCCACTTTTTCCCACCTTTGAAAGTGTGAAAGGCACTCTCATCCCTAGCAGCCCAGCATGGACTCCTCTGAAACACCTGGCCACTTCTAGTCCCCTTTAATCCCTCAGTCCCAGTATTGGCTGGCCAACTTGGCATGAAAGTAAAGAAATGAGTCTCTATTGTGTTCATTTCCACCAATCCTGATAATGGTATATGCCAAGAGTTTTATAACTGTTATAGTTTTCCATACTGGAGAGAAGGTGTGTCCAGGTCTATGGGAAGTAGGTTGATCTGGACCTTTCCAGATGCCCTGGCTTTCATGGACAGTATATCCAGTTTATTTTTGGTACTAAATCATTGCCTCACTGGACCTGGGGGACCTTAAGAATAATCATATACTTCCCCCAAAGTAGTGCCCATTTCTGAAAGTGAGATCAACCTCACGGTTATGGTTATGATGGATGCCATCATGAGGGGAAGAAAACCTTGCTGGGTCTGCTTCTACTTTTGACAGCCTAGGACTTTCTTAACACCAGTCCCAAATGTGGGCAAGTGTCTTCTGCTGAAAGCACACCTACATGCCTGGCTGATTCTTGGATTTTTGCCATACTCAAGTTGGATCAGGCTTTTTAGGGCAAGTGCATTTTAACTACTATAACCAATCCATGTTTTATAGGCCATAACGTTGTTATAGAGCAAGCAGAAAGAATATTGCAAAAGCTTTAAAAATTTGTGGCAAGTTTATACCATGTGGTAGTGGTTATGCTGATAAATTACTCATTTCCTACACATTTCTTACTATTCCTGCTTGTTGACCCAATTTAGTTCTTTGATTTTACATTTATAATTGCCATATTTGCATTATAAGTTGGCACTAATACTTGCCGTGAATATAAGCTATCTGGAGAAAGTTAGGTTGTGGAAGGATACAGACCGGATGGATTCTTTATATTCTAGAAATATCGCTACCAGCTCTTTGAAAATCTTTATTACAGAGCCAAACCAAATTCATGTTTTGAAAAATGATCATCTGTATTCTTCTTGTTGTGTGTTTTGTTATAAACTTCCAAACATAAGTTGCACTCTTGTATTTTTCTAAGAAAACCCGTAGGTATGGATCCTGGTGGTAAGTAACCTGCCAAAATGAAGCAAATGTCTTCGTTCATCACACTCTTCATTGCAAGGCATATTGTTCCATAAACTTGGGATCTCATTAGGGGCAAACAGTGTTGGTCCTGCCTTGCAAATGAAGAAGACTGGAACTTTGTGTGTTTCACCAAAATAGCTTCTGTGAGTTTCTTTCACGTAGGGCCTCAAGATTTAAATGCTACATAGATTAAATGACCTTTGGACTTCGCAGTTACTCTCTTCTTGTGCCCTCTTCTAAACACTAACGGCCCTTTCTCTTTAAAAATACATAATTTTTCTCATAATTGAGTTTCTATATTATTTAATTGTATATTTACCCTGCTGTGTTGTCAGCTTTATGTGGGGAATGTTGTAGTTAATCAAGTATCCTCTATAACAATATAACTTTATATGCACCACAAATGGGATGTCAATTTTCTTTTGTTTTGTTTTTTTAAAGATTTTATTGATTTATTTGAGACAGAGAGAGCAAGCACAAGCAGGGGGAGAGACAGAGGGAGAGGGAGAAGCAGACTCCCCGCTGAGCAAGCAGCCCGATGCAGAACTTGATCCCAGGACGCTGGGATCACGACCCCAGCCGAAGGCAGCCACTTACCTGACTGAGCCACCCAGGCGCCCCGATGTCAACTTTCAAGTAGAAATTGAGAGAAATGTGTTGAGAGAGAACGTTTGAAAGGACGTATGGGTCTTAATAGTTTGGCTTTTGTTGCCCAGGATCAGAAAGTTATTGTCCCAACACTTTTTTTTCATGCCGTATCCAAGTGAAATGTGAAATTGTCAGCGTCCGTTAAGTAGAAAATTTTGTGGAACGAGAGTGGGATACTTAAAATGTAGATCAGTGTTTCGTAAAATTCCATACGAATCATGCAGGGTGTGTTTTAAGCACATAAGAATCACGTGCGGCGCTTGTTAACGCTACCGAGGCCTTATGCCCTGACCACTGAGCCTTTGATTCAGTAAATCTGGACGGGTCTGCGTGTATGAGTCACTCCAGGTGATCCCACTTTGAGGCAGTGGCTGCTGGGCTTCTCGAACTTTATGCACAATGGCATTGGTGTCTTGTGAAAGTGCGGACTGAAGTTCAGTAGGTCTGGGGTGGTGCCTGAGACTCTGCATTTCTCATGTGTTCCCAGGTGATGCTTTAGAAACCCTGACTTTGCAACTCGACCTACCATGGGTGCCTTTGTATTTCCTTCTACAACGAACCCACTACCTTTTTTACGTTTGACCATATATACTTTTGGGCTAGGTTTTAACCTCCTTTAAACCTTGTCTGATGTAATTTAAAAATACTTACCTTCTCCTTTTCTTTCTTTTGTTCTTTCCTTAAAAAAAAAAAATGAATATAGATGTGCACCCGTTGTGTCTTGAAGTGCCATCAGCTGTAACAGAAACTCCAGATCGCAAGGCCTCCGCCAGGCATCCACACACCCTGGAACCCAAGGCCATGGAGCTCTCCGACAGCGACCGCCCGGTCAGCTTCGGCTCCACGTCGTCCTCCGCCTCTTCCCGGGATAGCCATGGCTCCTTTGGCAGCAGAATGACCTTAGTCTCAAACAGCCACTTGGGCTTGTTTCACCCAGATAAGGAAGCCGGGGCCATAAAACTGGAGCTGCTTCCAGCCGGGCCGTTTTCCAGCAGCGAGCTTCAGCGGGAGAGCCGGGCTGGGCCGCAGGACACGGACCAGGGTGGTGACGTTCAGCCCAGGGCCCCGCGGGGCATGGAAGCAAGTGGGGCGAGCAGAACAGGGGCCGAGTCGGCCACCAGCCCCAAGCTCCTCTATGTGGACAGAGTTGTTCAGGAGATTCTGGAGACCGAAAGGACTTATGTGCAGGACTTAAAAAGCATCGTAGAGGTAAGGCAAACTTTCTTCTTTGGTTCTTTTAAAGCTTGTCGTGCAGGATAAATATGCTTGCAAAATAAAGAGCAAACAAAGCCAGGGATTGGGGATGTTTTGTCTCCTAAGACGCAGGAGTAGGGTGAATGTTTAAACAGATCATCACCTAAGAGGAACCCGAGGTCCATATTCGTTGTGTTAAAAATCCTCTTCATATTTGCAGCAATGCACTAATGATGTGTTAGAAGCAAGAACAAGGGTGCCAACGCGCCCACCAGTAGATTGTGTGAATAACTTCTCCACCTGAGAGCTCCAAGTGCTCCGCAGGGCCTGGAGCAGGACTGGAAGTGTCCTGACTTGCAGATGTCAGGTGTATCTGGACTGAAGCCATCCGGCTATCTCCACCTTAATCACAATTGTCTACTGGTATCTGGGAGCTTCCCAGACAGGTACTGATACCTGTGTCCCACCTCCAGAGACTGTGATTTCAGGGGCCTTGGGTATGGCCCCGGCAGAGGGCTGGTGGAAGATCCCAGCCCTCTGGGATTCAGATGAGCTTGGGAGTCACTGTTTGATGCTGTTCTCTATTGGTTGGTGTTTGGGAGAAGATAGGGAAAGGAAGAGAAAAAACATGGGCTTTGTCTTGTCTCGGGCATTTACTTTCTTTTCACTTTGATAGTGAACAAGTTTGCGTAAATTACTTGACCCCACGTGAATCGGGCTCAGCTGATGGGCCAGATTAGGTACTCTGGAAACTGAGTTATGAATCGACTTTGATTTATAGATAGGTTTTTAAGGATAAAGTAAAAATTACCATAGCAGCTCAGATACTAACTCATTCTCAATTAATGATTAAAAATATGAATATTTTAAAGGCAAATTTATATACTATAAAGCTGGACCCACGTTGCTGCCTGGGAATATACCAAGTTCTTTGATTGGTTAGTGCCCTCCCCCTGTTTTAGACTTTTAATCTAAAATGTTTCAGAGTATAGTGGAATATTTGCTGATGAGCACATTCTGCACCAAATACATGCATTCTTAGAGCTTTAGAAAAAAAATTCTGAGGCATAATTGTGTGTTGAGTTCCATAAATGACAGAACCAGACACTGTCTACTAAAAATAGTTATGACATAACTTCCTGGTAAAAATAGAAAAATCAATTGATGCTCAACCAAAACAATATGGGATACCAAATGTAGAATACAGCAGGCCAATTTTCTTTTTAATTTCAACAATGATGTCATTTGTACTTGCGAAGAAATACCTGTGAAACTGCCAAAAATTTTGCAACCTCTCAGGAAATTCATGGTTGTCAAAGCTTGCTTTGGTCTGTCCTTTTTCTTTTCTTTTCTTGAAATCTCTCCACCTGGCCAAAAGTCACCATACTGAGAGAGAGCCGTAAGTTACTGAACTGATATTCCATGAACACTGTTGTTTTTTTCTGAGGCTGGTTGCTAAGCCTTGGTGAGAGGAAATGGGTAAGATCTGAACAAAAGGGGACCGACAAAGACAGGATATTCTCTGCTAAGAAAGTTTCGGTAGAAGTTCTCTTCCAGGCTGCCCAGGTGTTCTTGCCTTTTTTTTTTTTTTTTCCCAATCATCCTCTCCATGATTGGTGAATTGACCATGTTTTACACTGGGGGTTGGTGGACTTTTTCTATAAAGAGCCAGAGAGTAAATGTTAGGGTTTCTGGGCCCTAAAGTCTCACTTATAATCGCTCAGGTCTGCTGTTGTAGCTCAAATGCAGCCACAGGACATTATGTCAATGAATGGGTATGGGTTTTCCAGTAAAACTTTAGGGCTAGGTTTGACCCAGGGACCATACATAGTTTGAGGCTATGAATTGGTGCCTGTGTTTTATTAACTCTAAAATGAGACTAATAAGTAGTACCCACCTCATAGGATTAGTATGAGAATTAAAAAATACATGAAAAACTCTTAGAACAGGATGTGGCACATAGTAAGCTGTTAATAAGAGGAGAGTATCCTCAGCAGCAGCCTCCTCTGAATTTGCTGGTTGAGAGCGGTCACCATTCAACTATACTGTGTTTTACCTAAAGTCTTTCACAAAAATAAACAGATTAGTCAGTTTGCTACAGCAGACATTTAATTAGAAAAAAAATTTAAACCGGTGATCCCAGCATTACTATTTCGAATGCAACTGGATTATTTCCAATGAATCCACTGAAAACCTGAGGTGACACATAAGGTGACACATGAGGATGTTGGGAGGAGGAGTATCTGGGGAAGAAAAGTCCCAAACATAGTGGGAGGCACCCATGTAGGTTGAAGTAAATGCTGCTTTGTTCCAGAATTCACCAGAATGCTTTGGCTTTATTTACCCTCTCCACCTAGAAAAAGCCAGACTCTTTAGATGAGGGATTAGTTGTCACAGCCTTTTCTTCATGTACTTTTGTTATGGGGCCACCTCTGTTTCTCAAGATCACAATTTTCACAAAATGGTTAAACTCATTTTATCTAGTTCTTTCCTTGATGAAGAATAATCAATTATTTTTCCACTTGCAGCAACTCTACCCAATAGAGACGGTGAAAATCGATATTCTTTTAAAGTACAAAGTGTCGATTCCATTCAAATGTATTTTCCTTGATCCATTTCTAACTTATTTTTATAATTCTATAGCCGACTTCTCTCAGATCCTCAATTTTTCAAATGCAGAATTTCAAAATGGGAAAAGAGCTGCTCATTAACAACCTGCTAATACAAGTTCTCACCACACCTAAGGGGTGGAGCTTGTTAGTTGGCTCCTTCTCAGCAAGAATTATTTCTGAGGGGGAAAAAAAAAGTCTAAGCATTTATAGAGATACTGGTAAGTCACCTTTCATCTCTGCAGGAGCACATTTCTGATTTTCTGCACACTGCTTAACAAATTCCATCTAATGCGCTTCATCCTCAATTTCCCCTGTAAGTAGCGTCTTTTATCCATATACCACATACATCATCCCCACAGGTCAGGTTTAGATTTGTTTGTAGGATTTATAAATGGAAACATTTTTGTGAAAGATCGCGGATATATACATAGATTTAAGAGACATTAACACAGAGGCCCCTGGCTGGCTAGGTCAGTGGATCATGCAACTCTTGATCTCGGAGTTGAGTTTGAGCCCCACATTGGGTGTAGAGATTGCTTAAAAATAAAATCTTAAAAAGAGAGAGACAGAGAGAGAGACATTAACACCATGTGCTTTGACCTATTCAGCGTGGTCCCAGAATAACTGACTTCGGAGAAGAGATCCTTCCAACCTTATTTAGGCAAAAGAATCCCCAGATGTTGGTTACACCTACAAAGAAGGTTATCTGCCTTTCTTTCCCATATGGAGAGAGATTGTACTAATCCCAAATATATAGGTCTTTTTCCTTTCCCGTTTCCTGAACATTTTAAAAATGTCATTGTTCTTATCCCTATTGCTGTTTATTCCTTGCATTCCTCCCCAGATCCTTTGTTCTGAGCCCCCTGCTCCTCCCTCCCCCACCATGGCTACTCCATCCTCTGCTTCTTTGCCTGACATGCTAGTCGTCTAATTTTATACACTTGACATTTGAGAGAAAGAGGGAAAGAAAGCGAGGTGAGATCTTGACTGCCCCCCCTACTCAAAGGAACAATGGAGCTGTTATTTCCATTTCTATATATGGCTCCTAATAGCATTCACAGATAAAATGAGGTAATAAATAAGAAAGCAAGTTTTAAAAGTTAAAAGTAAAATAACCAATGAGACAACTTGTGGAGAGATAGAAATCCGTGGTTGGAAAGTAGAAAATAAGTATCTCTTTCATGTTTAATGGACCTTACAGTGACTGAGTAGGGACTCTCATGGGTAGAGGGGGTTTCTTTAATCTTCCTAAATGATCTATAAAAGAGCCTTTGAAAGCCTCATAAGATTTGGCCCCAGATATACTTTATGGCCTGTTTTAGCCTTTTAGGAAAGTTTTTAAATAGTTCATAATGTTATATAATGCTGTGCAATTAGAAGTTAATTCCCTACTACAAAATATCATCTTTGAACTATAAGAGATGCTACATTAAATCATCTTTTTGGACATTGAGGACATGTGTATTTAGTAGAAAAAAGTGGGTAAAGTACTAAATGTAACATGACTTTATTTTTTTCTATCATCTTCTAGAGAACTAAAATTCTTTTCAAGCACCTTTGTCCACACAGTGTGTTTAAAAGCTGAGAAGTGAGTATCCCAGCCTTAATGTTTAAAACTTAAAGAGCCAAAGCCTTATTAAACATAGCTTTGTGGAGAGCATTCAGCATTGTTCAAAAGCTGTAGCTGAACAAGGATTAGAATGTTGATCTCAGAGACCCCCTCCCTGCCCCCTCCCCCACCAGCTCTTATGTTTAGCAGTCTACAGGGACTCTTTGTTTTAGTTCATGATAGTGTAGACAGTGTCAGGGTAGGTGGAGGAAAGAAGGATGCTTTTCACATGCTTGCTGACGTGAAACACACTGAAAGCTATTCTGCCGATTGCCATGGCTTCCAGAAGAGGTTGCTCTTAGTACTGGAGACACCACGTTAGTTGGAAGAATAACCTTCTTACACATGGGAAGCAAGCCTTCTCTCAAATCAGCAGAGGGGAAGAAAGAAACCTAGTGACCAGTCCTGAGGCGTCTGTAGGGCCTGTCCACCGTTTTCTCTGTCTAGAGACTTAGGGTAGAGACTCAGACTCTGATAGAATGCAATCTGAGTTAGCATTTGTCCAGGGCCGCCCCTCCCTCCAGGACAACGCTGTCGGTTTGGATGTGGTTTTCTGATGAAGTCTGGCTTGCTTTGGATCCTGTTGGAGAAACAAGACTGTTTGGTGTGGAAAAGGGGCAGTTTGCGCCTCTGCTGCTCTCTTCCCTTAGCCATGAAAATAGGATTCTCTGTGAGCATCTGGACCAGCCATAACTGCGTAGGACTGTGAAGAGGAGAAAGGTCTCAAACTAAGAGATAAGGCTGTCGAGAAGAGGTGAACTGTCATGGCTTTTATTACCCTTTTATTTGCAGAT